GCATGGTCGAAAGAATCGCAGAACTCCAGAATGGAGAAATATATGTCCTCTGGAACCTCCGATAACATTGTTAAATCACTTGATATTAACTGAGAAATCACCCTTACCTGAGCGCAGTGCACCGGCGACCAAACTGCGCTGTCTGACTCGCGCGCGCCATTCTAATCGATTATCGTAGACCAGAGTTGTGTTGCGTGGGGCGTAGCATTGATTAAAGTTAGATTTATCGTCGTTTTGTCGCTAATAATGGGAGATTCAGCAGCAGCTGATGCCGAGAAGGCCAAGGGTAATGCCCTCTACAAACAACGGAAATTTGCCGAGGTAATGATGGAAGAACACAGAAGCGGTGACCGCTGGCGGCAGTACAACCCTCGATGGGAGTATACATGCTCGTTATCGTTATAGGCTATTGAGTGCTATGATAAGGCAATAGAGCTCCAGCCGAACGACTTGGTCTACTATAACAATAAGGCAGCCGTGTTGGTAGAAGAGGAGAAGTACGAAGAGTGCATCAAGTTCCTCCAGGACGCCCTTGCCAAACGGTGAGCCAAGACCTCACTCGTGGCTGTTAGTGGTTGAAAGTCACGGATGTAGGTACGATATGAATGATGCTGTTAAGGATGGGGCCTCCTTCGAGAAGTGCGCCAAGGCTTACGTTAGGATGGCGACCTGCTATGTCCGCATGAAGAAGTAGTAGAAGCGGTTTTCACTGAGGGAGCAAGGGTTGTGGTGATGGGTTGTTCTAGGTTCGATGATGCCATTGAGATGTATCAGAAGGCTTTGACGGAGGACAACAACCGCCATACTCGTGCCGCCCTCAACGAGTGCAAGCACATGAAGGAAAAGCACGACAGGGAGGTAAGTCAGTTCCTGAGTCGTGAGCTTGCGAGGGTATCTTATGTTCACCCTAGGCTTACATCAATCCTGAGTTGGCTGATGAGCATCGCATGAAGGGCAATGAGTGCTTCAAGTCGCGTGACTATGCTGGTGCTAAGAAGGAGTACGACGAAGCCATCAAACGTAATAATACAGCCTCGCGGTTTCCGAAGGATGATACCGGGACCTTCAGGCAACCCGAATGACGCCAAGTTGTATTCCAATCGAGCAGCAGCTCTTACCAAGCTCATGGCCTATCCTGATGCTCTCCGTGATCTTGACGACTGCCTCAAGGTAGGGTGTCTGGCTGTTTACTGGGTCGATAATTATGCTGGCCCTCGACTCAGATCGATCCGAAGTTCGTGAAGGCGTACAGCCGTAAGGGAACAGTCCATTTCATGATGAAGGATTATAAGAAGGCACTTGAGGATTATGAGAAGTACTGTGTCTCATTGGCTGGTGGCTGCAGCGTCATCTGCTCTCTTCATTAGGGGTCTGGAGGTCGATCCTACCCATAAGGAGCTACTGGATGGCAAGGCTGCAGTTCTCGCTAAGGTAGTACAAGCGGTTCTATTCAAGCTGGAATCCTCTGCGACTCTATCGATTACGTTGTAGGTCAACGAGCAGGCCCGGTCGAAGGGTGCACCGGACCCGGAGACTGTCAGGCACGCCATGCAGGATCCTGAGGTCCAGAAGATTCTCAAGGACCCCCAGATGAACATAGTGCTCCAGCAGATGCAGGAGAACCCACAGAAGGCTATGGAGGTAATGCTGTAGCATCTAGGAGCTCTTCCGCCGCCACTCCTCGCGTCCCTTCAGTACATGAAAGATCCTAAGATTGCAAGTGCTTTGGATAAGCTCATCGCCTCGGGTATCGTGCGTATGGGTTAAACACCTGAAAAGACCATCAAGACACCTAAGTAGTTGGGGTATATCAAGAAGCGTATTATGAGTTAGTAGTAGTTGAGATTGCCATCAGTGGATATCATCCCTTCCACCGCCCCTTCTAGTCTTTGCGTTTCCTTCTGATGTCTCCTATGCGGTCATTGTGTTCATCAATCAATTCTCCATTCTAATCACTTTGTGCCGTATCGCGCTGGTAGGGGGCGTACATAACCACTTTTAAGTGTACTGCATCATATCATCATCTCGCAGCTCTTCACTTTGTCGGTCATGTTTGGCGGCGGGGGCGGTGGCATTGGTATGATGGGAACAGGGTATCCCTACTCGACTGGGATGTACCCAACCTATGGAGGGGGGTATGCGGGAGGCCTGGGGATGGCGAGCAGTGTAGCGCAACAACCAGTACTGGGGACTGCCACACAGCAACAGCAGCAAGCGGGCACTAACGCGGCAGCCACTCCTCCCAAGGAGCTGCATCCGCAGATCAACCTTACTACTATCATAAGGTCGGTGATCGCTATGGTCTCCCCGGGTGTCTGCAACCCGAACTGCTTCTGAACCGAAGTCGGATCGGGATTCCTCATCGTATCATCATCAGCTCGTGTGTAGGTTCCTCACCGAGTCCGCTGCCGTTTTTGAAGGGCTAAGGATGGTGCTGCAAGTCATAAGAAGCTGGGGGAGCGAAGTCTTAGGCTTCGGTCAAACCAGGCCCGCTCGCGGGGGTACTGCTTCGTCAGAGTTGCTTCGGAAACGGAAAGGGTCTATCAGGTACGGAACTCAATCGTCCGGTTTTTACGGCGTGTCTTGGAATGGTTCGTACCGCGACTACGAGTTGCTCGGGAAGGCAGAGAGCTCCAACTAGCTTGGGAGGGGAAATCGGCGTCGACCAGCGGGACATCTTGGTTAGCTTATCTTTTCGGCGGCTACGTCCTATTTCTCCCTCTTCACGGAGTACAGGCAGTACCAGCAGATAAAGAGGATTATCAGGGAAGGTCGGAAGCCTAGGAGGCCTAAGGAGGCTGGTGGGGAGTCCGATGTCGAGGAGCTACTGGAGCTGTACAAACGGAAGCAACGGGAGATGTATAGACGGAAGCATGGCAATAATGAGGGAGGTAGTGGGAGTCGAGCAGCGATGGCCGTAGTATCGCTGCTATGCCTCGATCTTCGTCCATCAAACACGGCCGTACTAGGTCTCACTATCTCTGCGAACCTCGTGAAGAGTCTTCGATGTCTGTTGTCTCAGGTTGGAGTAGCGAGTCTCAGAGTGAATCAGAAGGGCCAGGATTGATGGGGGGCTCTCCCTAATAGTTCCATTTGATCGCCGTGTACCTTTGTACGATTGCCCTCGTTAATGTCCCATTGTTGGTATAGTAGTAATATTAATTCTCTGCCGTTCCTCACTCCCGCCAACTCTATTGCGTTTGTCACAGCGAGCGGTGGATGGGCCATCTTCTAGTGATTATTCTCGCTGCCCTACCTCTTGGCATAGTCTCCATGATTGAAGAGGATGTGGATTTATCTATGAAGGTAGTGTCCTCCAGCATGCCCCGATCCAGGATCCGCTCAGGTCATCGTAGTCGGAAACGGGCAGGTAGGGAAGACTTCAATGATTACGCGGTTCGCGAGGGGCGTCTTCACACAGGAGTAGCGCAACCTGCAGCATCGGGAGTAAAGTATCTCCTTCGGGCGGTACTGATCAGATACAAGAAGACGTTGGCGGTGGACTTCTTGGAGAAACGGTTGTGGATAGAGCCTGCAGGGGAGGAGCTAACCTTCTTTCTCTGGGACACCGCTGGCCAGGAGGAATACGATGCCATCACCAGAGGGTGAGTATGCAGGTTGTGTGCTCTAGTGGGGAGTAGGAGGTCAGGTACTACAAGGGAGCCGGAGCGGCTATAATAGCCTTCTCCACCGTCGACCGAGCTTCCTTTGAAGCCGTAGAATCGTGGTATAAGAAGATCGTTGAAGAATGTGGGCAGATAGTCATGTTGCTAGTTCAGAATAAAGTAGGTCTCTGAGGACTGGGTAGAGTCCTCAAAGGCCCCCCGTCCCATCAAACGAGTGCCAAATCCTCAGGTTGACTTGATAGACCAGGCTGTGGTAACGGCTCAAGAGGCTGAATCGCTCTCACGGAAACTTCGGATACCGGTAGGTGATGATCGCCTCCCGTCCGCTCGCGACGGTTTTGCCTTCACTTATTCGGCGAACCCAGGAGCAACTGATTCTCCCCAGTTATATCGAACTTGCGTGAGTGCGAACCTGAACATCGACAACGCCTTCCTGGCTTTGGGCGAGAGATTCCTGGCGAAGGGTGGTCATCGTAACCATCAAAGTGTTCGACGTAGGTCCCCCGCTCCCACAGGTTGGCTGTGACCAATGCACATCGCTCGGAAGCGCCTCATCTCACAGTCGCTCTGTCGTGTATAATGAGGGTTATTCAGTGACTGCTGTTATTCAGATGTGAGCGAGTACTCCACGGTGAGCACCAATAGCAAGGGAGCAGCAGGGGGTCTCGACTCTGCCAGTGTGGACACGCATCATACATCGTCCGTGATGGCCGCTAATCCGCCCAGGGGTGAGTATGCGAGTCGATATTGGCGAAGGATCTTCTAGTGAGAGGATCATCGGGAGGTATCGTGTGAGCTATACGTTCCGTCCATCCAAACATCGCGTTCTTGTATCCCCAGTTCTCGGTTTCTTGACAGGTTTCCAGATCGGCGCTAGCGGCAAGACACCGAGCGTTCAGCGAACGAATGGGAAGAAACATCCGTTCGCATCGTGCTCATGCACATAGGAGATCAGGCGGCAGAGGACGAATCTATAATGCATGCGATGACGTTCACTATGCGCCCGTTCAGCTGTTCGGCAATACATAGGGTTGTGTTAATTGTGTGTGGGATCGGTCCACAAAATCTAGTCGCCTGTTGTGTTGCTCAACAACCGCGCGGAAATTGGCTAGTGGCCGATGATCACTCAACGGCCCGGACTGCATCGGGCTGGGAGGCACAGACCAAAGCTGAAGACACGTTACGAGTAACAACGACTGTAAGCATTCTGGTTTCCTTTAAATGAATCTGTGGTGATGTTCGAACTCAAGGCCTAGCCTAAATGAACTTCTGTGATTCTATCGTGTCCTGGTTTCCTCTGGTCCCGTATGGGCGTGTGGATTGCAAACAGAGTCGCATACTACAAGATAAGGATACTGATACTGAATATGTATATGAGTGCTGTGGGGTTCGAACCCCGCAGACAGTGTCCAGAAGTTCTTAAGTCCATCCCCTTAACCACTCGGGCGAACAGTCTCCGACTCCTCTCGTCCTAGACGCAAGTGTGGGCTGTAAACAAAACCCTTCAGGGAGATACTAGAGCATTCCAACTCATAAAACGCTTCTGACTGCTGTGGGGTTCGAACCCACGCGGATCGCGTCCAGTGGATCTTAAGTCCACCCCCTTAACCACTCGGGCAAACACTCGACAGACATAGCTCGTTTCCTACTCTTCTGGGCTTTCACGGGCGCATGGCCCTTGACTGGGCTAACTCCTGACATGCCGCACAAGCCATCAGAATGATGATGAACCTGAGTGCTGTGGGGTTCGAACCCACGCGGACCGTGTCCAGTGGATCTTAAGTCCACCCCCTTAACCACTCGGGCAAACACTCCGCGATTTCGCTCAGTCGCTGGCTTCTCTCGTCCTAGACTCAAGTATGGGTTGTAAACGAAACCCATTCAGGAAGATACTAGAGCATCGCGACTCACAAATCTCTTTTGAGTGCTGTGGGGTTCGAACCCACGCGGACCGTGTCCAGTGGATCTTAAGTCCACCCCCTTAACCACTCGGGCAAACACTCTGCGATTCACCTGGTCTCCGAATTCTCTCGTCCCAGACGCAAGTATAGGTTGTAAACAAAACAACACTCTAGAGAGACACAACAGAATTCTGACCCAAAATATGCTTTCGACTGCTGTGAGGCACGAACCCACATGGACCTTGTCCAGTGAACTTCAAGTCCACCCCCTTAACCACCCGGGTATGACATATATACAAGAAACCCTTAGGAGCGATACTACATTCTGACACAAAACATTGATTTGAGTGGTCTAAGACCTATCAGGATTCGCTCCCTCGCGAACCGTGCCCGATGAATTTTCAGACCAGCTCTTCAACTGCTCAGGCAAACACTCCACAGACCAGCTAGCTAACAAATATGGGTCGCAGCAGTACACATGCCGGTAACTCTATCAGGAATTTCATGAAATGATGGTGTTACATGGAACGCACTTGTGCTGTGAATGATCGCTGGATACCCTGCGTAGCACCAGGTGTTAAATTCGCTACTCTTTCTGATAGGCGGATCGATGTGGAGCCAGTTAAGATTCCAGTACTACTCGCGCAACATCATGTCTAGAGAAACTCAATTAACGTTTTCGCCTCCGTCGACTGGTGATCCCTGCATCAAGGGTGGAGTGGTGGCCGTGCCGTGATGATCTATCTCTGCAGGTCCGCTGCCGTTTTGACGATGCACCATCGCCGTGCCACCAACCGTAAGCCAAGGACTGCAACGAGAGCCACATGCCCGTCCGAGCGGCCGTGCAGCCAAGAATACTCCGCTCGCATTAGTACCTGCAGTTCAGCAACTTGTTGGTCCAAGGGCCGCGTAGCCATCTGCACGAGGTGCATACACGTCGTCTCCGGGTCATCGGAGCGGGGCTCTCTGATAACAAAGCGAGTTCATCTTGAGTTCACCCACAGTTTTATTCACCTGAGCCTCACTCTTAACGTAGTACAGAGCGATTGTATTGCCTCTGTTCGAGTCAGATATGTATCCTCCGCACGACCCTTGGTCCCGCGGACGTACCTTCGAGAAAACTACACTACGCCTCAATAACACGGCGGTCGGGCCTCTCCTTGACAATGATCGGTGAAAAGGTTTTATCGTACACTTTATGCGTTACACAAGCTTCTACCGTGTGAGGGAATCACTGCTGCTATCAATGATACCAAACAGCACTCGAGCAGTTTGCCAGTAAGGTCGTATCCTTCGCATAAGCGATCTGTTCACTCACACGTATGCTGTGTGATCCTCCGAACTAGTCGTCATCGTCATGAGGACTTTCTCACATATGGTCGCCTTCAGCCCGAAGCTCGACACCAAGTCTGATCGGTAGCTCACGTACCTACCGAGTGGCTCAGTGCCAATGATACAACTTCTCTGAAGAGACCCACACTCGACAGGTTACGGACTGGTTGAATAGGTGCACGAATTGAGCGATGAAATTGGGGGGCATGGCCAGGTCGAAGGAGTAAATGTGTGTCACCTGCCCAGCGAGGATGAGAGATGGATTCGACCTTAGGAGAAGGATCGGTAGTCTTACAGGATCGAACTGCGTGAGATCTGCTCCATTCATCAGTTTAAAGTAGATGTTCAACGGCTGGGTGTTCAACACCAAGGGCGGTGCCGCCTCGGACTGTGTCGGAGTCGACTCCTGAAGAGGCCGTCCAGGGAGGAACTGATACGATTGGTGTACATGGCCAGAGCCCCTCCCCGTGGCTGTTGCACCGCTGCCCAAACCGTGAACCTCCTGCAGGGTCTCAAAATGATGTAGGAGCGAGAGGAAGTACCTAGGGCCCTGGGGTCAAGGGCAATCCCCGGCCCACACCCTACACATTTTTGTCGAACTCTACTCCCAGTGAAGCTTTAATTCCGGGGACGATCAGTGCTGCTAAGAGGGATGGTATCCCTCGCCCAGATCCTATATCCAAAAACACGCTAGAATTATCCAACCCGTAGTCGGCCTGAGGGTAAAGGGCAAGACTGAAGGCCTGAGCGGTCATCCTGCCAGGACGCGGACCTTAAGTATGGCGAAGAGCTTGAGCATCGAGCCTCGAGTGTTCTCCCCGTACGTTGACATTGAGCTGGTGGCTATCGTATTATACTCTCCCCGCCAAAGATAGTCCAGAAACCTGACCCAGTACTCTATCCCGGGACATGGCGTGGAGCCTAGCCCCTCACCCTGTGTTGCTACATACTGACGCGGCACTCTCAGATGGCGAAGGCGATGGGCAGCTCTCCGGTGGACTAGCGCTGAGCTCCTCCGATGTTGATGGCGGCGATGATGCACTGGAGGTGGAATCAGGTTGCCGGTCGTCGGTACTCGATTGAAGCATCGTACAACCGCTAATCCCTCTACCACACTTCCCGCGATACTCTCGCCGAATGACAGCACTATAGACCAACATCACTATAGTAGAGACTATCGTTGAGCTGGTAAGTCAGCAGCAATGGGGTGAATGGGCCTTATCAATCGTCCAACAAAGACTTCTTAGTAACCGAGATGCCCTCTGCCTCCGGTCTGGGAGCCTTCTTACTCTTCTTGCCTTTCTTCTTCTTCGGGGCCTCTTCGACGGGCTCCTCCTCGTCCGCAGCATACTGCCGCTTCACCTTCCTCCCGTGACCCGTTTCGTATGCCTCCGCACGGTAATGGAATCCGGCCCGCAATCCTGTACACATCACTCGTACACAAGAAAGAACGATTTTTCATGCCTCCCCTTCACTACCACTGCCATCATCCGCGTCAAGCTGCAGGACCCTTCCCCTTAAGCTTCCAGGGCTCCTTACGCGCACATATCCGCCGCACCACACCAGTAGCCTCGAACGTGACGTAACAGAAGCCTTAAAAAACGTCGTGCGGTCGATCCCTGGCGGCTGGCCATGCATTACCCTTATTGCGACGGTCGGGCCCGGCCGTGACCACTCTGACGTTCTCAACATCCCCCATGGTGCTGAAGAGTTTGGAGATCTCCACCTCCGAGACGTCATCTGAAATAAACTCCGCTGCGACTTAGTAGTGGGGTAGAAGGTGCTTACAAGGAAGGTTTTTGACGAAGAGAATCTTGGCCTTTCCGTCGACCTGTTTCGGTGACCAGGCGGTTGAGGAACCTGAATGCTCAGGGTCTCATACCGACATACGGAGTTCAACTGTCGCTCACAGCAGCCATTCCCTCAACGACTAATTGAGTGGTCACAAATTAATGTAGAAGAGAAACCCTCATCGATAGAGAGATGTGAGAGCACTTACGTGCACCGTAGTTATGAGACGATTTTCCACCGACGCTCGACCCCACCGAGTACTACCTGCGCTACCGCCAGACTTGGCCTCAGTGACCTTGAGCCAGCGCTGCCGTCCACTGCCTCCGGCCCATGCCTTCGACCCGTCCAGTTTCAGAGCTTCAGAAAAAGCCTTGTCATCCGCCAGAGTGACATGGGCGTATCCTCTCTGTAGGGAATCGATTAGGCTCCCTTTCGCCCCCCATCCCTTACCAAACGTCCACTGTCCTCCCACTTCGGTGCCCGGACACTCAGGATCTGACCGCACTCCTTGAAGTGGTTATATATGTCCTCCTCCGTCCAGCTGAAGGGCAGGCCTGAATGAAGTGGAAGAGACCAGGAGAGAAAACAGTGTGGATACTCGTGACCCAGAGCGAGCGGGACATTGACGGCAAAAGATCACCCGCACTCGCCGACTAAGCCGCACAGGAAATCATGCACCCCTCGCGAGCTTCCCGAGTATTGCGCATAGCATCATCCAGGGGGTCGAAATCAGAGCCAAGATAGGCGTGACTCGGTCCAGATACGAAGCTCCCGACTTCGTTCTGCTCCTAGTGTCGCCCCTACTGGAACCGCCCCTCCCCTCGTACTACCTTCCACGTAGACAGTGTTCTCTGAGACGTTCTTGTACCGTTGATCGGAAGACATTATGTTAACAACAGCTGGCCAACGTAATACCGGAGATCACTGATTTGATTCTCTTGCCGAGATGTCGCGTATTTCCTGATGGTAGAAAAGGTCGCGTTGGGATTCGAACCTCAGCGGTCTTTGGAACATCGGGTTACAATTCTCCCCCGCGTGCCTTGAAATTGGATCGGGTCTGGTAACCACTCCGGGTGTTCAATAGACCTGAATTGAATTCCAGCAGCGCTCCTAGGATCGTCTTTCACACGTTAAATTCAATCCTAGGAGCGCTCCTGAAACTCAGGAGAGGTCTATTGAACACCCCTACTGTTCCAGACGACTCATTCGACGGCAACCCCACTTCAGTCGAATATACTTGCAGTAGTGTCGGGATATTCGTCAGAGGGTTCAAGGGATGTGGAACATAGCAGCAGTCATCAAAGTCCTTCGCCGAGTGTCCACGCACACTTTATGTCCGACGCATCCTTGCCTCCTGCACCAAGGAGCTCCCCCGGCCTATCACATACCAGCAGTGGCGGCTCGGTGATCGATGTGGGTGTCTCCCTCTGG